TGCTTTTACAATTTGAAAATAGGGGCTTTGTAGGCACTCCCAAAAGATGGATGGATGGAGAGAGAAAGAGAGAGATTCTAGAGAGCGAAGCACCAGCCTCTAGCACTGATTTTGATGTCAATACCTCTCTGGTGTCCACATATACTTCAGATGAATCCTTGGAAACTGAAGTGGTGGATGCTTGGGTTGGGAGCCAGATGTCAGCTGAGGGAGTAGGGAACATCTTAGAGCGCTTGAAGGGGTGACGAGCAATAATATGATCAGTCTGACTTTTGATAAAAAAATTATTCTGTGATTAGCCCTGCCTACTCTAGCACCCTACTTCATGGCAGTCATTTTGTGAGAAGACCTCTGACATGTTCTCAAAACTTCAGATGTGCTCAGAGATCCCGTAGGTGATCAAATACTCTGCAGGCTGCCACAAATTCCCCAGGTGTCTTTTTAGAAAAAGACACCTTAACTACAAGATAGCCCCCATAAAACATTCCTCAATGTTTTGAGGACTCCCTGGCCACTACTGCAAATGCAGCATTGCTGATATGAATGAAGTCATACCAACCACACCTACATCATCTATCTTGATATTTCTTTGCAATTAGTCAGGAATTAGCTATTTGGGGAATGGATCTGAACATCTCATTATCATGGGTCAACATCTCATTCGCCTCCCCATAATGATCTTTAGAACTTAATTAGGTTGCCACAGTCACCTCTCCAAATATCTCCTTCCTCTCTAGATCGGTAACTTGGGTCCTGCTAATACATCAAGCTTAGAGGTTGGATTTTCTAAGAAGCTGACATTTACCAACCCCTGTAGACCCTGTAGACCCTGTAGCACTAAATTTGTGGAGGTCACCATGGATGCCCTAGCTGCCCCATGCTCCAAAGTTTGAGTATGGGAAACTCACCTTCACCTGGGATTCACTCATGCCCAGGGAATATGCCAGTCGTGCCCGCTCAGGCCCAGCCAAGTATTTGGTCTGCTCAAAGGTTTTCTCCAGTGCAAAGATCTGGTGCCCTGTGAAGGTTGGCCGCGTATGTTTCTTCTTGTGGAGGCCGTCACCTACGTGCCCTGTGGCTGTGTGGAGGGAGATGGGCAGCATGGTCACTGACTGGCATCCAGCTTCCCTGGAAAATAGTGGCAGGGTACCCAAAGCTAACTAGTGTTTTGAGCCCCAGCTTCTGGGCAGGATGGCTCTCTAGGGATTAATCCTTCCCAGTGTTGGACATTGATGAGCTTACTGACGCTGAATAGGCTGGACGACATCATCTCCTGATGAGTCTCTCTAGATGGGAAGGGGCTGACCAGGACTTGCTGACCAGTAATTGAGACCCTAGCTGTGTGCCCCAAAGTCCTCTTTTGGCGGGGCACTGCAAACAAACCAACTTAACTTCTGCCTGCCCCACAGTCATACAAAATAAATATGAACCAAAATACATTTTCCTATATCTGCATTATATTTTAAAATAACCTCTGTGTGTGTGTGTGTGTGTGTGTGTGTGTGTAAATCTGGAATGGGGTAGTTTGGAGAACAGAAGTGGTTTCTCTTGGACAGTGGTCCAACCAGAAAGCCACATCTAGCCCAAACCTTCTCTTCATTTATTGCCCTGGTATTGTTGGAGAAAAGATTTAACCCATTCTCTCTCTTGCACATTACAGATGGTCGAAACTGAGTTCCTGGCTCATAACTGCTCTTTGAAATATAAATATATTTAATCAAATGTATTTATTAAATATTAAATTATTTATTAAATAAAATATATTTCATACATACATATGTATGTGTGTGTACTGTATGTATGTACGTATATGTATGTACGTATATGTGTGTGTGTGTGTGTGTGTGTGTGTG